TTAAAAAATGTCTGAAAATGGAGTGGGAGGGCTATATTTTATTTCTAGTTTGAATGTGGTTTCTGTAGGAGGAAAAACATTCTTGATGTTTTTAAATGCTGTGCATAAGTATTATTCAATTTCAAAATTTCTGTCTACGTAGTGCGTCATATCCGGTGACGAGGCCCCGTGCCAGGCGTCGGCTGTTTTAAACAAACGTGTGTGCATCATAGACTGTGTGTGCGCACGGATCCCAAAGATAAAGAGAGAAGGAGTCGATAAGACTGGACTAAGAATCAGAATGAACTTTTGCTTTCAGTCAATGAGGAAGGACTGCCTCATGTTTGTAACGAGAAGTTTTGTTGCAACACGAGGAACAATGAAGCTTTAAACACTGTTCACTGAAGGATTCATTCATCGCAAATTCAAAGCACCTATTTTCAGACTTCAAATACCTTCGCAAAGACGGTAAAATAAAAGGCCATTAAGGACATTCAGCTCCAGCAAACTTCAGCTTGTGATCGATATGAACAGGCTGTGATGCAGGTGAACTCGGAGCCAAAATGCAGATTTATTTACTCTATTTGTACAATTGCATGAAGGCAAAAAAATTGAAGTTAAAGTTAAAGCAGAGTCGTCACATGGTGCGTCATTCTCTCCAGGACACATCATGAATCATGAATGCTTATATTGTGTATTTGTAGCTAATATAGCTAATACAGCCGCAGCCTGTGTTACCTTCATATAAGCCTTTTACAAGTTGTTTTACATGTTTTTTGTTTTTTTGTCAAATATGGCTCTTTGAACCTTTTGAGTTGCCAACCCCTGGTATAAACAAACTTGTATAAAATGTGAAAAAACATGCCTGGGCCGCCAAGAAGGCAAAAATGCCCGGGCCGTTTTTTTGTCCCAGTCCAGCCCTGCTACCGACCACAAGCACGAACCCACCTCTTGCACTTGTCCTGGTCTCTTCGTGGTCTGATCTGGTCCTGGTCTGGTCTGATGGTGTGGTTTAACAAACGGGTTGAATGTTACTTTCATAGTCCTTTTCAGAGTATCTGAAATCGCTCCGACAAGCACCATAACTGCAGTGTTTTGTTGTCACCATGATTCAATGATTTAGCCCAAATAAATACACACGCGTATGTGGAGAACACAGTAGTACTCAACGGAGTTGTACGATGTTTGTCCACCGAGCCGCCCCGCATCAAGCTGCTTCGCACCAAGCCGCCCCGCATCAAGCCGCTCCACACCAAGCCGCCCCGTACCAAGCCGTCCCGCATTAAGCCGCCCCGCACCACGCCGCCCCGCACCACGCCGCCCCGCACCACGCCGCCCCGCACCACGCCGCCCCGCACTACGCCGCACCACGCAGCACCGCGCAAAGGAGGTGGGGCCGCCGTGTGATGATTTGTTGCTGTAGCTAGAAGAACGTTAGTCAAATTGTAATGAATATGATGATTAGAGCTGTTTGGCACCCCATGTAAGGGCGACAGTAGCTCAGTTGGTAGAGCATTGGCCTTCAGGCCTGAAGGTCGTGGGTTCAATTCCCACCTCTACACCTTCTCCATCGACTCCCACTGATGACTGCTGTCGTTGTGTCCTTGGGCAAGACACTTAACCCCACTTTGCCCAAAGCCCCCACTGAAAGATCAAGGCTGTGCTCACACTCAGAGAGCAGCCGCCCTCCTGTGGACTCACCACCTGCAGAGGGTCAGTGAGGGGCTGGTGCTATGAGACTTGGGTGGCATCTCTGATTGCCACCCCCCTGACCCAGAAATGGACTAAAGGGTAGAAAATGGATGGATGGATGGATGGCACCCCATGTAAAACTTTGCCTCAATCTGTATGGGGCGCTAATGGGCCAATTTCAAATATTTCACTTTCACCTGACCTAAACCCTGGAGTTGAACATTGGATTCAAGTTTTTTTCGTCATCAGACGATGGCCCAGTCCCAATACCCACACTGCACCCTACGCCCTCCTATGAAGTGTGCATTTGTTTGAAGTGCACACCAGGGTTTTATTGCGCAGGTTGCAAGTGTGCACAAAAGATGGTCATTTTCAGACCTAAACTTTATAAACATTAAAGGTAATTTTGTCTGACCCTTTGGGAAACAAAATGAATTGCTTCACACACGTTAAAATACATGTATATTAGTTGTTTTTAATTAGGGATAGCTGTATAATTTTAGGTTAAGTGTGGGTAACTAACTATCTGGTCAGTTTTTATACATTCTAAGATTATTGTACTAAGTGTAAAGTTTAAATTGAATGTTATTTGAACGCTTGCTTTAAAAAGTTATTAAATTGTTAAAACACATTGTCCGTAATTTTTCATCAGACGTTTATGCTTCTTTCCAAGTAACATAGCAAAACTTATTTACACACATACTAAATATATATTTCAAAATTTATATTTAAATGCATTTTCCTGACGTTTTGGTGTGTACCGCAAAGAATTATGGGCAATATCCTTCGCTAGAGTGCGCATAGATGCAGGCTACGGCGAAGTGTGGATCAGGGGCGCAAAAGGGGCGGGGCCAAAGACCTCCCTGGAGAATTGGGATATCCTACGCACTCGCACCCTTTATCGGGAACGCGCAAATGAGGGGCGCGAGGGTGGAAGTGCGAGTATTGGGACGGGGCCTTTGTTTGTGCAAAGGGGAGCAAAATTAATGTTGTCAAAAACGGCCAAAAAACACTCATATTTTGCCGCTCCGCTGCTCAAACAACGTTTCATTGATCAAAAATCCCTTTGGTCATTTTGAAGGTACATGTGTTGAGATGATGTGGAGTGATTTTGAGGCAAATCGGTGAAACGGCCGAGGAGGAGAAGATTTCCAACCGACATGTATGAAAATTATTGCGGATCATTTTTCCATTTTGCAGTGAAATTTATTGGCCTCCTGTTTGTCAGAGGGCGGAGCCATGATAACATTTTGGTCTTATCTTGACTCGAGGAACATGTGTACCGAATTTCATGGCTCTACGACAAATTTGACCTCTGAAACTCCCGTTGGCTGTTGTAGGTGGCGCTGTTCTGGCATTTTTTGAGTCCCATCAAAATAAACACCAAAATATCAAATTTTTCACCAAGTTTGATGTTTGGGCAAAATTTTACAACTTTTCATGCATGTTCAGGGGGTCAAATTAAGGCTCAAAGTGCAGAATTTGACATCTCTTGATCAAAAACAAAAAATAAATCTGGCCAAAAGTGGTACTGCAGTCACAGTCAATATTTTGTAGTCCTCTCCCACTCTCCCTGACTCAGGTTGCCAGATACACACCAAATCCAGCAGCAAACACAGGGAATTATTTTATCAGTTGTTTGTCTGTCTCCATTCACATTGCCATGAGGCGTGCTAATGTTGAATGAATGTTTAATTTTTGTTTTTTATTTGGACATTTGAGATAAAAAAACACAAAACAAAATAAAAGCAATGTAATTATGTAGATTATCCAAAATAAATAAGCAATTGATGTCCAAAATAGGAGTGGGAAGAATGGATGGAACGTATTTCTTCAGCGTATCAACATCAGGGTTTCCTTCAGAGGATATCACCTTTCAATTTTATTTATTCCCTATTTTTTAGACAAACATGTATAAGTCCACATCAAAAAGAGACTAACAATATTTTAATTGGGGTACATGTTGTCTGAAATTATTCTTTTTACAATTAAGCTATAATCTGAAAAAAAAAGTCTCGTGACCTTCGTCTTTTACCGTTTTTAGAGCAATCTGTCATAGAATGTGATAACATGGAATTAAATACAAAAAGACTCTGCCCAGAATTGAACCCGGGTTGCTGCATCATCAGCACATGGCTTTAGCCTCTAGACCACCAATTTGTGCGATAAGAATCACTCTGAAGAACGGATTCAAAGCACCAAATTTTGCATCACACGCAAACTTTTATGAGCTGTCTCAATTGTTCAAAGGCGTCCCGATATAAATCCTCGTTTTAGTCTTTATTTTGTCATTAATTATTTGAGAGTCATAAAAAGACCTTTTTTAGTTCTGCGGCCACATGTTATTTTACCTCTGAGATTAGTGAGCCGCGCGGAGTTCTGGCAACCCGATCACGGACTTACATGACACTTCCCGATTGGCGAAACGGCGGAGGGTAGGACATCAAAATCAAAACAATAAGAACTTTTACGGGTCGTAAAACTAATTTTGATATTCAAATATCTCGGCTGAACTACTGTTATTAGTTGAAGATGTATTTGAAAAGAGCATGATTTAATAACGCCTCTTGAAATATGGGGGCCATTTAATGATGACTTGACATGCAAATATTACATACCACTACTTTAAGTGCGTGCGGGTTAGGTGTGTTTGTGGCTCCACGCACACACTGCAGCTGGTGTAGTGCACGTGAGACATCACTCGCAAGTCCGCGGCAAGACCAAGTGCGCGAGTTCACGGTGTGCAGGGTGCAGTTGGTCCAAGCCCTGTTCTGGATCAAAAGCAGATTCAGACTTCTGTGTCGGGGCGCTTCTCCCGCACTCGGACAGTGTACCTCATGGTCACAGACAGAGAGCTTTCGGATCTGACTTTTTCTATTTAGAGAATGAAGCCTGCGCAGATCCACCGTGATCCATACACTGTTGAAATATGTGCCCGCGTTGTTTGTGCCGGAGGCACAGGACGCTGGATTTTCATTGTGTGCAGGAAAGACACAATGCGCGCAACTTAGAGGGAACATTGGTTGGACTGCACTCGGATCGGGTCAGAACATCCTGAGACTGTTGCAGATTCTGCCTCGTTCTCATTATTGTCAGTGTGAAAATGTTTTGTGTTGTTCACGTGTGAGTCTGTTGTGTACAAACTACACGATGTGCCTCTTGCTGTGTTAACGCTGTCTTTGTGCGTACTGTGTGGTGTGGCGAAGTGCTGGGCGTTGTGGAGCGGGGTGGTACAGGGTGGTGCGGGGAGTGCGCACGATGTGGGAAAAAAAAAAAAAAAAAAAAAAAAAAAACTGCCAAACCATTTATCAGCGTAGGCAAATTTTGGTATGATCGGTGCCGCAGTAAGCGTGCTCAACCCCGTGAGGCTTAAGAAAAGCAAGACTGGGAAAATGGCTCGGATGTGGGGAAAATGAACAATCGAGAGACAAAAAAGGGAGGGGGTAAACATTGAGGCAGGGGCAGGCTGATGCAGGTGCACCAGCAAGGGATGTAAATAGGAGTTTGTTCATGAAGTGAAAAGAAGGAACCACACAAGTAAGATAAAAGCATGAAAGGGCTGTTGGTTTTTAGTAGGTTTGCATTACTTTTTATCACAATTGCAGTTTTAATCAAATATTTCATGGAATACTTTGCAAATGAGTTTGAAATTAGTACAAGCAGTACAACAAGAAACCTCAATGAATAAGTGAAAATAAATATTTCTATTCAAATGAGGCTCTTATATTGCAGAACAACTCCCGCCTCCTCGATTGCTGATTGGTCGGATGGACTTCAACCGATTGTAATCGCAAACACAGGGACCAGATTCAGCGTTTACATGCCGGAAATGATAAATTGAGGTAGTGTACGGATGGCTAGGCCAGGGAGAGGTGTCAGTACATGAGAAAGGCACTTCATACACCCTTGAGTGGTATAATTAGAATATGGTTAACCAGCTTTTAAACTTTTTTTAGAAGATGTCAATTATTATGGCATCACAATTCTGGTTTTCCTTCATTGCTTATGTGACCTGTGAACGGTCTGACAGCAATTCGGCGCCTTTCGCGACTGCTCCTTTTCATTATTGAATTTATTGGAGCCCTGCTGAACTTCAATTCCGACTGATCATTTTACACTGGGCTTTAACGCCGACGTGCCATCCGCCAAAAAATCACTGCGGGATTTCCAGTTCAATACCAGTGCTTTGTAGTTTAATTGAATGGAAGAATGCCATTGTGAAGTTGCGCGGTGTCCCTGAAAGGAAGCACAGTCGCTTGTTTCATCCTAGCAGGCTAAAAAACGCAAACAAATGTTGACAAAGTCAAAACGACAAAACGCTGTGATGGAGGAGATTTTAAGCCATTTGTACAATCCTTGTATTGAAAGTTAAAGCAGCATTAAAACACTCCCATTCAAAGGTACAAATTACAGTTTGCAATTAATGCGCTCGATATTTTAACACAGGTATTGGCACGGATTACATAAATCAACAAAATGGTAAGTGTGTGTACGCAAGTAGGTGATGAGGGGAAGAGTGTTATTAGCTAAGGATATAAACAAATATAAGGTGCTTTTTACCTATCATAGGACAATGGGGTGAGTAGGCTTTTAAACTGTTGCATGTGGTAACATTTTTGTCTTTGGATCTGGGTTCAGATACCGAAAACTTTGCCCCATAGGGGGTTGTTACATCGAGCTCAAGGGCATATTTAATAGGAGAGTCCGCAAGCAGGCCAGTTCCTGTACTCCTCCAGAATCAGAGTTGGTTCATATGGCACTAAACATGTCAGGTTGTGGAGACTGGTGCTATGAGACTTGGACTTGGATTGCCACCCCGACAAAAATGTTATAATAAAGGGGTAGAAAATGGCATGGCATGACATCACGAGACTTAATGGGCTTGTAACTTCCTGGTCTAGTCAAGGACTCTAGCTGCAGTGTTTTGAATAAACTGTGGTTTTGCTTTATACCTTGGTTGGGAAACTCTACAGTAGGGTGTGTTTAGCACCTCGTTAAGGACTCACTAATAATATCTTTGATTTTATTTTTCATCCTCCACACTGCAGGTTTCTTTAGTGGCAGAGAATGCGATGGTAAAATAATCTGTTCTGGTTCTGTTAAGAAATTGAATCCGGAGCAAGAGGAATGGTTTAGCAAATGTCATTGAGGCAAAGATGTTGTGGCTCTACTCCCCACGGGCTCCGATAGTGGCAAAGGAGATGGCTAAAGCTGGGCTAAATGCTAAAGCTAGGATCCAATCGTTTCAATCTGCAAAAGGAGTTAACCCCTCCCACCTGTTAACGGAGTCAATTAAGCAAATGCAGACCTTAGTGTGAAATGAAATGAGTACAGTGGTGTGGTAAGACCAGGCTACAGCAGAACAGAAGGAGAAATAAGAACACTCAGATTGTGCAGAAATCAAACTATCTATTATTGAAGTGAATCGAGAATAAGATGAAGTCACAGTTGTTCGGTGTTTGCAGCTGATCCTGGTGTGGTCCCTCTTCACCCTCACCTCGCCCTCCTATGGGACCGTCCCGTACCCAGACTGGGCCCTGGCGCTGGGCTGGGGCCTCGCTGCGTTCGTGCTCATGTGGATCCCACTCATCGCTCTCTACAAGTTTGTTAAAACGAAGGGCTCGGCGTGGGAGGTAAGAATGTGTTGTTTTAAAGACTCAAGAAAGGGAAAGACAAGAACAATGTTCACGGACGTCAAAAATGGCTCAAATTTGGCAAAATGTATCTTGGTTTGAGCACATTCTGACTGAGCCTTAAAACTAGATTCTCCAACGGGACAAAGCAAAATGATCTTGTTTTAAAAGATGTCATAAATGTCTCTTTTGGAATGAGAAAATCTGGAGAATCTGGTTTCAATCTCCAATGTTCACTCCTTTTTTTCTCTCTAATGTAGGATTATATTAAAATATATTATATTTTCTTTTACATATATTTGTTTTGTTTTAACCCCCTAGTTTTTTCAATCATAGGCCTTTACTAAATGGTTGAGATGCAGCTTGAGTGTCTCAAACCCAGTGATGGAGATGAAAATGAGGTAGATTTCAGTTCCAAGCTTCAGGTAGATTTAGTTAGCCTGACTCTGGCCAGACCCATGTAGTTCGCTGCACTTCACACATGAGTCTGGTACTGAGCCATAGTGGTTGGATTTCAGAAGGCAGGGCCTTGTAAAAAAAATCCTTGCATGTGATTGGATAGACCACTTGTCCGTTATCTTGAATGAAGTCTGCTTTCAACCACTCACATCGAAGCACACGGCTCCCATAGGTTGCCAAATCCCAGCAAGATTTTCCACCCCAAAATCCGCGAGAATACCCAAAAAAAAAACAATTTGGCTAAAAACCTAATATAATCAACTTGGGCTATCATGATTCTGTTTATTGTCTTTCTGTTTATTTAATACCTACAAGTCTCTTGGAAAAAAATATGCGGGAACCACCAAACCTGGCAACCCTGCTGCATAGTGTGTAAACAGGAACACTGAACCAGTGCTTCAACCAAACTTTACAGGAACATTTGACTCTTAAAACACACATATATCAACATAGAACCATCAACATCTCGCCTCAAATTGCATTAAAAGTGACATCCGTGTCTTGATTCGATCGTATTTACTCTTTTAAAAAGATTCGCGGACTTTATGTCCGCCATTTTGGATTCCTCTCGCTGCTGCATGAGAGAAGCTTGAGAAGGCAGTGCAGAACCCACGTAACACCGGCAATCCTGATTGGTCAATTCAAAAATAATCTGGGGAAGGCGTTCGCTATGGGCTCGATCCCAGACCCATGTGGTTCAGCCAAACGCCTCTGGTGGAGCATGGCGGAACTACAAGGGTAAGATTTAGTTACTCAAGAGGGAAAAGTTGAGGAAACCATTAAAGGGTTGAAAGTCAGAATGTTCACAAATTAAGAAAACCTACTAGACCAGAGAGAAAGAAAGATCAGAGTAAAAGAGACCAGAGAGAAAGAGAGACCAGAGAGAGACCAGAAAGAGAGAGACCAGAGAGAGAGAAAGAAAGTGACCAGAGAGAAAGTGACCAGAGAGAAAGAAAGACCCGAGAAAGAGACCAGAGAGAGAAACCAGAGAGAAAGAGAGACCAGAGAGAAAGAGACCAGACATCCAGTCGATTAAAGGCCTTATTTCCACATACTTGATCATTTCCTACAGTGTAAATGGTGTTTACTGTAATAATCACGTGTTTTTTCTCCAGCGGTTGAAATCCCTGTGTCGTCCGACTGAAGAGTGGGGTCCGTATCTGGAGCAGCATCGAGGAGAGAGGTACTCCGTGGAACCCCAGACCAACAAAAGTGACTCCTGCAGCGTGTCTGTGGTCTCCAGCTCTTGGCTCTGACTCCTGCAGCGTGTCTGTGGTCTCCAGCTCCTGGCTCTGACTCCTGCAGCGTGTCTGTGGTCTCCAGCTCCTGGCTCTGACTCCTGCAGCGTGTCTGTGGTCTCCAGCTCCTGGCTCTGACTCCTGCAGCGTGTCTGTGGTCTCCAGCTCTTGGCTCTGACTCCTGCAGCGTGTCTGTGGTCTCCAGCTCTTGGCTCTGACTCTTGCAGCGTGTCTGTGGTCTCCAGCTCGTGGCTCTGACTCCTGCAGCGTGTCTGTGGTCTCCAGCTCCTGGCTCTGACTCCTGCAGCGTGTCTGTGGTCTCCAGCTCCTGGCTCTGACTCCTGCAGCGTGTCTGTGGTCTCCAGCTCCTGGCTCTGACTCCTGCAGCGTGTGTCTGTGGTCTCCAGCTCCTGGCTCTGACTCCTGCAGCGTGTCTGTGGTCTCCAGCTCCTGGCTCTGACTCCTGCAGCGTGTCTGTGGTCTCCAGCTCGTGGCTCTGACTCCTGCAGCGTGTCTGTGGTCTCCAGCTCCTGGCTCTGACTCCTGCAGCGTGTCTGTGGTCTCCAGCTCTTGGCTCTGACTCCTGCAGCGTGTCTGTGGTCTCCAGCTCTTGGCTCTGACCTCAGATCTGACATCTGGCTGTATGTCCACGGCCGCTCGTGGACATACAGCCTTTTTATGTCTATGCACTGGACTGTATTATAATGTGTTCATAATTATATACGTGTGTGTGTGTGTGTGTGTAGGTATTGAACATGTGTTTCATTCATCTGTGAGATTCAGCAGAAACCCCCGTTTACATGGAACAAAGCTATTTCAAACCAGATTTACTGTGTGTCTGAACAAAACTGCAAGGAATTGTGTAAATATGTGTTTTGGTCCTTTTTGTTTGTGATACTACTGAAAATAAATTGGACAAAAAATATTATTTGTTATTTAATATTTGTTTTTATTATTTATTTGATCATCGGAAAATGTGTTTACAAAACTCTCTGATCTAGTGTCCTTCTTGACACATTAGATAGATAAATAGATAGATAGATAAATAAATAGATAAATAGATCGAGGGCACAGTACTAAGCTGGGCATGGCCTGGTCAGTACTGTAACGGGAGCCCTCTGGGAACAGGTCAAATGTATACACAAAAACAGAATAAAAAATAAAACACATACGTACACACACACATACATCAATGTAGACAGCCATATGCCTCCACACACACACACACACACACACTCACACACACACACACACTCACACACACACATCATTTAATCATTTTGAAGTGCGTTTGAGCGAGTCTCCACAAGAGGGGGCTTGTGAGCTGAGAATCAGACTTCTGGTTAAAACCACAATAAAACATACACAACCGCTGCTTATTCTGCTGCAAACACAACCAGTCACAAAGTCACAACAGCTACAACACAACTGAACCTGCAGCATTAGAGGCCTGTCTCACATTTTCAGGGAGATGTTTTCTGCCCAAAGCCTGATGATACAAGTTTCATCAGAATCAGAATTATTTGCATTGTCATTGTATGTAACAGGAATTCACAAACTAGCAATTTTCTTTCACTCAAGCAGCAAACATGTTGTAAGTAATGTTTATTTATATAGAGCATTTTTCCAGGCCAAAGCACTGTTCAGATATTGTTCCAATCATTCCACACACGGTGATGACAGAAGCAAGTCCAGAACACACCATCAGCTCCAACACCATCCATTCACTCTCATCATTCAGACCTATGGTGCATGTTTTTAGTGGTAGGGGAAACCGGAGCACCCGGAGGAAACCTACGCAGACACGGGGAGAACATGCAAACTCCACTCAGAAAGGTCCTGTTGTATTATTATTATGATGATTATAATTTTTTGCATGTTTTAATTTTAATTTTATGTAATATTTCCTTTGCATTATTAATGTTGCCTTGTGAGGTTTTTATTTTTTTATTTTATTTTTATTCTGACATTCTCCTTGAATTCTAAAGGCAAAAACTCACAAATAAAGTATATACAAAAAAAGAAAGGCCCTGTTCCAACCGGGATTCAAACCCAGGACCCCCTTGCTGAGAAGCGAGAATGCTAACCACTCAGCCACCGTGCCGCCCTTGTAAGAGTTAGCAAGGAGCTGCCTGGGTCCTGCATCGGTCCTCGTTGAGTCCTGGATCTATTGCCCATTCTTCCATCGGAGTGGGTCCCTCCCTCTATGTGAGTCTGCCCGAGGTTCTCAGCCTTGTTGATGCAGAAGGCTCTAAGTACTGTATGTGTTTGTATCATTGCATTTATTGTGTTGGATTCTCTGATCTGTGTTGGCGAAATCGGCAGTTTTCTAAATGTCCTCTGAGATCACTACTGTTGTGATTTAGAGATATACAAGAATACATTGAATTGAATTGGTATATTTTTTAATGCACCACTTTAAGACACACAAATCCAATTGGGTTACACACATACACAACGAGGACGAAAAAAATAGGAGCAATGAAGGTGATGGTGGATGCATTCAATTGCTAAAATAATGCTCCCACCCACAAACACAGACACTACACAAACCGCTACACAAACACACACCGCTACACAAACACACACCGCTACACAAACACTACTACACAGACACCGCTACACAAACACACATCACTACACACACAAACCGCTTCACACACACTACACAAACACACACACACTACACAAACACACACACTACTACACACACATCACTACACAAACACACACACTACTACACTAACACAAACACTACTACACAAACAGACACCGCTACACAAACACACACACTACACAAACACACACACACTACACAAACACACACTACTACACAAACACACACACTACTACACAAACACACTACACAAACACACACACTACTACACAAACACACTACACACACACACACACACACTACACAAACACACACACTACACCCACATCACTACATACACACACATCACTACACACACGCTCACACCACTACACACACACACATCACTACACACACCCAAACCACTACACACACACACTCACACCACTTCACACACACACACACACACATCACTACACACACCCAAACCACTACACACACACACACACTCACACCACTTCACACACACACACACACACACACACACATCACTACACATACTGTACACCACACATCACACCACTACACACACACTCACACACACACACTCACACACACACACACACACTGTATCTTGTCTTATTGTGTATGTATTTGTTTGCACGTCTGCACCTGTATTGTATCTATATAGTTTCAAAATAAAAAAAAATAATATAAAATTGGAACAGGTAAATACAATCATACTCTTAAAATTACTACTATACACAAGAGCACTAAGTACACACCATAGACATTTAGCAGCGCAGCAAAGTGACAGTAGCTTAAAGTGACAGTAGCATAAAGTGACAGTAGCATAAAGTGACAGTAGCTTAAAGTGACAGTAGCTTAAAGTGACAATAGCATAAAGTTACAGTAGCATAAAGTGACAGTAGCATAAAGTGACAGTAGCATAAAGTGACAGTAGCATAAAGTGACAATAGCATAAAGTGACAGTAGCATAAAGTGACAGTAGCATAAAGTGACAGTAGCATAAAGTGACAGTAGCATAAAGTGACAGTAGCATAAAGTGACAGTAGCTTAAAGTGACAATAGCATAAAGTGACAGTAGCATAAAGTGACAGTAGCATAAAGTGACAGTAGCATAAAGTGACAGTAGCATAAAGTGACAGTAGCTTAAAGTGACAATAGCATAAAGTGACAGTAGCTTAAAGTGACAGTAGCTTAAAGTGCCGGTGGATCCTCACTATGAACCTGGATAATGGTATTTTAAACACTTCATTATGACAGATATCTCACAGCAGCAGCAGATCTCTCGCCTGTTGAATCAAACGGCGAGGCAGAACGAGCCGCTGCGTCACGATTATAAATAATAATGTTGATGTGTTTATCTCCTCCAACTGCAGCACGGGCCGTTGCCGTGGGAGACTGCTGCCCGTCGCCATGGCAGCACGGGCTCCATCATCTCTCTCTCTCCGATAAAATGCGTGGGAGCGAGTGGGAGAGACGTCCTTGGGTCTAGAACAGTCCAACTATCAACTCAAGACATGGGAGGATTTCTGATGTGATGTGATCAGAGGTCCTCGTAAAGCTGGGCTACCTTTCTTTCAAACACAGGCAATGGAACGGTGTCGTGAAATCTAGTTCCTCGCTTGTGTTGTTTATGTACAGTGTGTACTCATGGGGATTTAGTGTGAAGCTAAGTCGCGTCTGAGGTCCCGCAGTCACCCTCACAAACACACAATCCTCAGCTGTTGCACAATGTTTATAGTGGTAGGGGGAACCGGAGCATCTGGAGGAAACCTAAGCAGACACAAGAGAACATGCAAACTCAACACAGAAAAAACTGGTGGTGGAATCGAACCCAGCATCTTCTTGCACAAGTGCTAACCACTGTGCCACCGTCCTTTAACTGTGATTTGGGATGTGTTTTGTACAGTGTTGTCTGAGGCAGCATCACAGAGAGCGACAGGAAGAAGCTGGAACAGGTCCTTAGGAAGACCAGCCCTGTCCTGTTCCCTGGACACAGTGCAGCCGGTCCTGGACAAACTAACATCTATGTGGACCATGACTGTCGCCCCCTGCAGGACACTCTGGAGAGCAGCTTCAGTGACAGACTGGTCCACCCCCGCTGAGTGAAGGAAAGGTTCTACAGGTCTTTCCTTCCTTCTGCTGTCAGTCTGTACAATGAGTACTGCTGGGCCTGTACATGTGATCTCATCTGTCTTTGGCATTTACTGCAGTTTTAGAATGTGCAATACAGTACTAAAAGTGTCTACTTGTCGCTTTATGTATTTGTTCTGATATTTAACATGATTTATATATACGTTTATAAATATATATGTATTGATATGGCTGTATATGCTCCTATTAATAAATATTTACTGCTAACTACAGAATCTATATTGTGTCTGCTCCTACTTCTGTCAGTGTCGATCTGTGGGACTTTTAACTTCTTCTAATCTTAATGCATTTTGTCGATGTTTGTTGTCACCGATTGGAAAAGTAACAATTTCAGGTCTATTATTATCGATAATAATTCATGTTTTGGCAGTGTTCACTTCTGTACAGGAGGCTGCAGCAGGATTCCACTGTACTCTTCCTCCTCTTCCTCCTCTTCCTCCTCTCAGCAGAAACACTCTCAGCCTCTTCCTCAAAGACGTGACTCGCATTTCCACCACTCACTGACGTCATCCTCAAAGGCTCCGAGGGAAAGGCAGCAGGGGGAGACCAGGGGAGGAGACCAGGGGGGAGACCATGAGGGGAGCAGACCAGAGGGGAGGAGACCAGGGGGGAGGAGACCGGGGGGAGGAGACCGGGGGGAGAGACCAGGGAGGAGACCAGGGGGGAGACCATGAGGGGAGCAGACCGGGGGGGAGGCCAGGGGAGGAGACCAGGGGAGAGCAGGGGGGGACCAAGGGGGGGAGACCAGGGGGTAGGAGACCAGAGGGGAGGAGACCAGAAGGGAGGATACCAGGAGGGAGGAGACCAGGGGGAGGACACCAGGGGAGGAGGTCGTCACCAAACTGGATTTTCCACTTCAATAAAAGTCTCTAATGTTGCCATCGTTACCGTTTCTCCGCTGGGTCCTTTTCCACCTGTCCTTGTTGCTTTCCCTGCGGCAGGGGCCTGTGGGCGGGGCCTGTGGGCGGGGCATGTGGGTGGAGCCTCTGTGACTTCTTGAATGAACGCAGTCGAAACAGAGCATTTACAGGGTTTTTACAACGTCACAAAATCAAGACGTTAAAACTAGAGAAGAAATACTGATAAAATACTGCAAACACTGAAGAGGTCTTGTCTTGTCGAAAAGGTCAATTAATTTTGTTTCATCCATCCATCCCTAAACCACAACAGTAGTGATCTCGGGGGACTTGACAAAACTGCTGATTTGCCAACAACAGATCTGAGAATCAAACTTTTCCAACACAGAAAATGCAGTGATAAATTAAAGTCGTCGTTGGGTCCTTGCTGCGCCGCGCAATGTCGCACTTTGCAACGCCGCCGCACCACACAACGCCACGCCGCACAACGCCACACAAAGGAGGGGGGCGCCCAGATAAAAATAGTTGATCTAAAAAGTTTGATAAAAAACAAAGTGGGCTAAAAACAGATGTAAAATTGCTAAAAGTCCACAGTGCACCAGCCTGGTCTTACCACACCATCGTAGTCATTTCATTTCATACTAAGGTCTGGATTTGGGTCACAATATAGTTAGTTTGTTAGTTTGATTTACCTGCAGAACACATTATCTTCTCACTAATACAAATTTGAAAAAACAAAGAAAATGTTTGTTCGTTGTTGGAGTAAAAATGTGGAATGATTTAGATTTTTTCAGTTCATTAAAACATTATCAACATTTAAAACTATTCCTTAAAATGTGACACTTAATGCATTTAATTTGCCTTAGAAAAGATTATAAAAGTGAACCAAAAACTATTGTTCTATCAAATATGTAAAGTTTAAAATAAGCGTTTATTTTAATTTCTGATATAGTTGTTGAAGCTCATGACGTGTGTGTGAGACTCTGTGGCCTTTTGTGATCGTCAGCCGAAGGAGAACCTCAAACCTCCACAATCACACTGTCTCATCGGTGTCTTCAGCTGAGATGGATTGTCCTGGAAGATGGATAGAAAGATAGACACACCTCCAACCTTTCAAAAAACTAAACACACAAACCTTCTGCTCTGGTTCAGAGTGAAATTCTGAATGCTTTATTATCATTTTTTGAAAACAATTTCATGTCATCTGAAATAATGACAGCTATCGAGACAGGAGACTGGAAAGAAGAAAGAGGAGAGAGGAAAAAGGAGAAAGAAGAGGAGACAGCAGATGGGAGAGAGGAGAGAGGAGGAAGGAGAGATGAGAAAGAGGAGAGAGAAGACAGGAGAGAGGAGACAGCAGAGGGGAGAGAGGAGGAAGGAGAGATGAGAAAGAGGAGAGAGAAGACAGGAGAGAGGAGACAGCAGAGGGGAGAGAGGAGGAAGGAGAGAGGAGACAGCAGATGGGAGAGAGGAGAGAGGAGGAAGGAGAGACGAGAAAGAGGAGAGAGGAGACAGCAGAGGGGAGAGAGGAGGAAGGAGAGAGGAGACAGCAGAGGGGAGAGAGGAGGAAGGAGAGATGAGAAAGAGGAGAGAGGAGACAGCAGAGGGGAGAGAGGAGGAAGGAGAGATGAGAAAGAGGAGAGAGAAGACAGGAGAGAGGAGACAGCAGAGGGGAGAGAGGAGAGAGGAGGAAGGAGAGATGAGAAAGAGGAGAGAGAAGACAGGAGAGAGGAAACAGGAGAGAGGAGGAAGGAGAGAGAAGCGATGAGACAGGAAAGACAAGATAGGAGAGGGGAGAAAGGAGAGAGGAGAAAGGAGAGAAAAGAGGAGAGGAGAAAGGAGAGAAAAGAGGAGAGGAGAAAGGAGAGAGGAGAGGAGACAGCTAGGAGACAGGAAAGACGAGATAGGAGAGGGGAGAGAGGAGAAAGGAGAGAGGAAAGGAGAGAGGAAAGGAGAGAGGAGACAGGAAAGAGTAGAGAGGAAAGAGGGAGGGGTGTTTAGCGGTGCACAGTCACATCAGACGCCGCGCTCTGCTCCACACACACCGGATCTTTCTGCAGTCTGCTCCGCTACAAACCCAGAGCAGCAGCAGCGACAGAGATGTAGTCTGCACGGTTCCGTCTCTCTGTGCGGTAAGGACCGGGCACCTGCGAGGGGCCATTGCAGCACACGCACACACACACACACACACAAACACGCACACGCACGCACGCACACACACACACACACACTCACACACACACACGCACACGCACGCACACCCGCACGCATTGAAGCCAAGCAGCAGCAGCAGCAGTAGTAATCATTTCAACTAAACACCAAATACATCCCATCGTGTTCTTTCAAAGCTACACACAGCTGCAGACATACAAGTGGTACTTCATTGCTCCCATATTTGCGCCCTGCAGTGTGTGTGTGTGTGTGTGTGTGTGTGTGTGTGTGTGTGTGTGTGTGTGTGTGTGTGTGTGTGTGTGCGCGTGTGTGTGTACAATGTGTGCATATTTCCTCCTATCTCGCCTGTAGCTCTGTAAACGCACTCTCATCTCTGGTTGTCTGTCTGAACGTACATGTGTTTAATAGTACATGTGAATCTATAACACAGCCTGGTTTGGGGTCTGCTGGTTTGGGGTCTGCTGGTTTGGGGTCTGCTGGTTTGGTGTCTGCTGGTTTGGTTTGGACCCATTCTGCATGTTTCATAGTCCCTATCTCAGCCAATCAGTGCTTTAATAGCCAAAACTATCATCTCTATGCAGACCTAATTATCAAGAGCTAATTACAAACTTGTGTTACTGTAATTTAGTTGATATTGGAGCACAGTTGTGGCCTAAACTTGGACCAAGACTACCAAACAATTATAGAATATGACATCATAAATGCTTGAATCTAACGTTTTTTTATCTTCATTTAAGACAGTCATTCTTAGTCAACACATTTCTGACTGTGTTAAAGGGACACAGGAGGGTTTTCTACTTCCTGGGTGGATCATCAAGGCTATTGGTCCTCCCAAATGTCAATTGTTCAATCAATTGTCAAATAAGAGCAGAGAGTTTTGTTCAAAAAGTGGAGAGGGAGGAAGTTTGGGAAAATTCTCCTACAAACCTTTACAACCAGATTCTCCAATGGGACAAAGCCATTTTTCTCAGTCCAAGGGAGACATTTCTTTAATCTTTTTAAAACAAGATAATTTTGTTTTGTCCCATTGGCAAATTTTGATTTAAGGCTCAGTCAAAATGGCAGGAATCAAGATTTTTCCAAATTCAAGCATTTTTTGACTTATTTTCTATCACTTTTTGCAGTGTATACTTTATCAATAATAACAGTTAGACATTAAGTGTAATGCCACAGAAGCATTGGTTGAAGCAGAAGTGATTTTATAGAAATAAAACGTTGCACAGTGGAGCTTTAACAGACAGCTGCTCATATTGAACAAGCACATCACAGAAAAGAGTCGGACAGTTATGACTCATGCTCTTTTCACTCCGAGCATCGTCTGAAGTTTCAATTACAGGCTTCACAAACCACAGACTCCACTCAAACCGGGAGGGCATTCAAATGAAACGATCGATCTCGGGAGCAGAGGACACAAAAGAATCTACAAGTACGCACTGGTTACATGTCTTAGGTTATGTTTACTTCTTCTAGATGTGGGTCGACCTTAATGTCTAGTGAGAATACCAAGACTATAATGTTGACACTATAGCGTTCTGAAACTACTAGAACTCCCAGAGCAGTCATTTTGACGGCTCCCGTTGAAATTAATGGAATTCTGAAAACATCCCCCAAAAATAGTTTTAGCTTTTCACAACTTTTTATCAAAATCAATAGGTAATGCAAATAGTTTTTCCACTTTAACACATGCTAAAACTGGTTAATTTTAAATGAAACTGCAGCTAAACTAAATGCTAACGGATGCAGGTAAACAGTGTGTTGCTATGGTAACTAGCACTCGCTCCAAACTGAGATTGCTCTGAACCTGTCGAGGATCGAGATCATTTAATAAACACGATTCCATTAAAATAAACTACATGTAGAGACAGAAAAGGTTACAAAGTTATGAAGACCAAATACGTACACAAAGTGAGTGACTACACATCCTCTCATCTCAAAACCGTCAAATTGACTGCTCTGGGAGTTCCCATGTTAAAGCTGGGGCCTCTCACTTTTGGGGTTCGAGCAGAGAAAGGTTCCTTGCCCTTTGTCTCTGGGATGGAGTGTGAGGTTGACAGGTGGTATGGAGGAGCGTCTACAGTCAGAGCTGTATCAGACAGTTGTGATGAAGAGGGAGCAGCGTCTGCAGTCAGAGCTCTCGATTTACTGGTTAATCTCTGTTTCCTTCCTCACCTTTGATCATGAGCTCTGGGAACGACTGAAAAGACGAGATCACGGAAACAAGAACTCCACATGAGTTTCCTCCGCAGAGTGGCTTAGAGACAGGGAAAGGAGCTCGAAGTAGAGCCGCTGCTTCCTTAGAGACAGGGTGAGGAGCTCGTAGCAGAAGTTGTTTGGAATCCCTCATGGACTCCGCTCTGGACACCAGGGGTAGAACCAGGACACAGAGGGACTCTCAGCTGGTCTGGGAAGCCTCAGGATTCCCCCAGATGAGCTGGAGGAGGTGTGTGTGGAGAGGGACCAGCGACAGATAAAGCAGAACATAAAACGGAATAGAATCTTGAGAAAGAACAAATGTTATAGTAACTGTTACAATGTTTTCTGATCAGATGAAGACTGCATTTATCTTTCAGACTGAGAGCTGATTGGCTGAGACAGGACTGGGACTCTCCTTTCACTGAGACAGGACTGGGACTCTCCTTTCACTGAGACTGGACTGGAACTCTCCTTTCACTGAGACTGGACTGGGACTTCACTGAGACAGGACTAGGACTTCACTGAGACAGGACTGGGACTTCACTGAGACGGGACTGGGACTCTCCTTTCACTGGGACCGGACTGGGACTTCACTGAGACAGGACTGGGACTCTCCTTTCACTGAGACTGGACTGGGACTCTCCTTTCACTGAGACTGGACTGGGACTTCACTGAGACAGGACTAGGACTTCACTGAGACAGGACTGGGACTTCACTGAGACGGGACTGGGACTCTCCTTTCACTGGGACC